CGAAAGTGGCAAGACCGGAGCCCGTTAAAAGCACCACGGATGCGGTACGTAGGCCAATGGTCAGAGGCGTGAGGAAGGAGCTGGAAGAGCCGCCAGCAGAAGAAGCTATGGAAGGCATCAGGAGGGTAATGGAGGCAGTCTCCATTAAGGAGGTGGTAAACGGGGATCCGCAACAGGTCAAACAAAACCTGGAGAACCTGATAACTAGGTGTCAGGGTGCGTTGACCCGCATTCCGGGGGAGCAGCAGCCGGGCAAGGAGATAAACCCGAAGAAAGCGCCCATGATCACAAAGGTGGAGGCGGTTAGGGACAAGATTCGGGTCAAGGCTAGGGAGGCGGCGGCACAGATCGTCCGTGGCAAGAAGGACGAGAAGCTGCGGAAAGAGGAGACGCGGAAGGAGGAGAAGACCTCTACCTCTGCCAAGCCGACCACCTCATGGGCAGAGGTGGTAAAAAGAGGGAAGAAGAAGCCCAGTGGTGCGAAGCAGGAGCCGGTGACGAAGCCTACGAAGCCGGCAGCTGTAGGAGTCGTCAAAAAGGGGAAAAGACGCCGGGAGAGATGAAAGGAAAGGAGGTGCCGAAAAGGAGGAGGGCACCCAGGACGGCCGCAGTGGCGATTTCCTTTCCTGAAGGCCAGGCGGGAGATGGCATGCGATTCCTGAGATCCCAAATAAACTTGGAGGAATTGGGAATCAGCAGCGTGAAACACAGGAGAGCCCTCAACGGGGCGACGCTCCTGGAAATTCCAGGAGGAGAAGAGGCGAAAGTGAAAGCGGATACTCTGGCCAGCCGCATCAAGGCGGTAGCAGAGGAAAAGGGAGTCCGGGTCTCTCGCCCCGCAAAAAGGGCGGAGATCCGGATGAAAGATCTCGACGAATCCGTCACGACGGAGGAAGTCCGAGACGCGGTGGCCAGGGTTGGAGAGGGTCTGAAGGAAGACATCAAGGTAGGCCCGATCCGCCATAATTCCAGCGGATTTGGAACCTGTTGGATCCAGTGCGGGATCGAGGTGGCCAAGAGAGTAGCCGCGGCGAAAAAGGTCAAGGTTGGCTGGGTGGCAGCCAGGGTCGAGCTACTGGAGCCCCGCCCCCTCGTCTGTTTCAAGTGTCTGGAGAGGGGGCACGTCAGGGGCCAGTGCAGGAGCACTGTTGATAGGAGCACTATGTGCTATAGGTGTGGCCAAGAGGGACACAAGGCACAGAGTTGCAACGAAACCCCGAACTGTGCGGTGTGTGGCAGTAAAGGGCTGCCCTCCAACCACAAGGCTGGAGGGGCAGCTTGCAAACCCCCCAGCAAAGGGGAAAAGAGGAGAGAGGCCAAGAAGAGCCGGGAGGAGGGACGAACTAAAAAGACGGACAAGGAGATAGTTGCGGGCCTGGCAGCTGAACAAGGGGAACCGATGGAGACTGAGCCATCGGTGCAGGGTGCAAAGAAGCACCCAGGAGAAAGAGACAGTCAGGAGGAGACTGGCAAGGGGGCGCCTTCACAGCCATGAAGGTGCTCCAAGCGAACCTCAACCACGCCTGCCAGGCCCAGGACCTCTTCCTACACAGCCTGGCAGAGCGTGGTTGTGGGCTCGGAGTTATAGCCGAGCCGTACCGTGTCCCCAAAAACCCCTGCTGGGCAGGGAGCACGGACGGCTCGGCCGCTATACTCTGGAGGCGGACGGGAGAGAGGACCCCTCCCATGTCCAGATTGAAAGCTGGCGAAGGATGGGTTGCAGTGGAGTGGGGGCCTCTAGTAGTGGTTGGGGTCTATATCAGACCCAGCCTAACAAGGGCGGAGCTAGAGGCCCGGCTGCAGGAATTGGAGGACGTGGTCCGGGAGTATCTTCCCGGGCCACTGCTGGTCGCCGGGGACTTCAATGCCAAATCGGCACTGTGGGGTTCCCGGCGGCCAGACGTCAAAGGAGCGGAGGTGGAGGCCTGGGCGGCGCGCCTGGGCCTCCACTTAGAGAACGTGGGAGCGGTGAGCACATGCGTGAGGCCGCAGGGGGAGTCAATAGTCGACTTGACGTGGACTTCCCCTGCGGCTGCGAGGATGGTGGGATCGTGGGAAGTGGCGGAGGGCGTGGAATTGCTCTCCGACCATCTCCCCATAGAGATAGAGCTTTCCTGGGAGACCAGAAACAGGGGAGCCCAGGAAGAAGCGGTCAGATGGAGGACCGACAAGATGGACGCCGACAAGCTGGTGGAGACAGTGGGGGTGGCGTTGTGGACGCACCCGGAGCCGGCGTCCACGGTAGAGGACGAGGTGGCATGGCTGCGGCGAGCAATGACGAGCGCGTGCGACAGTGCGATGCCGCGGGCAAGGTTCGCCCCACGCAGAGCGGCCTACTGGTGGTCGGAGGAAATCGAGGAACTTAGGAGATCCTCAGTGGCCGCCAGGAGAGCCGTCCTGCGGGCGAGAAGAAGGAGGAGAACCACCCAAGCGGAGGAGGATAGACTCCTGGAGGAATTCCGGCAGAAAAGGAAGGCCCTGAGAACGGCCATCAAGCTAGCGAAGGAGAGGGCATGGAATGACCTCATACAATCCCTAGACACGGATCCGTGGGGGCGCCCCTACAGGCTTGTTATGAACAGGCTAAACTCGGGGGCGCCCCCCACGGTGGGGGCGTTGAGGCCGGAATTCCTCCAGGAGGTAGTAGAGACGCTGTTCCCAGCGGGGGACAGGAGGGGCCTCCGCAATGA